GGGCAGGGGCTGCCGAGGGCTGAGGGTGAGGAGCTGAGGGTGAAGGGGTGCTGAGGGTGAGGGGCTGTGGAGGATGAGGAGCTGAGGGCAGAGGCTGCTGAGGGTGAGGACCTGAGGGTGAAGGGCTGCTAAGGGCAGAGTTCCTGAGGGCAGAGGCTGCTGAGGGCTGAGGGCGAGGAGCTGTGGCTGAAGGGCTGCTCAGGCCCAGGGCTGCGGAGGATGAGCAGCTGAGGGCAGGAGCTGCTGAGGGTGAGGGACTGTGGAGGATGAGGAGCTGAGGGCAGGAGCTGCTGAGGGTGAGGGGCTGTGGAGGATGAGGAGCTGAGGGCCAGGACCTGAGGGCGAGAGGCTGCTGAGGGCGAAGAGCTGAAGGTAAGGATGCTGAGGGCGAGGAGCTGAGGGTGAAGGGCTGCTGAGGGCGAGGAGCTGAAAGCAGGGGCTGCTGAGGGCAGGGGCTGCTGAGGGCGAGGAGCTGCTGAGGGCAGGGGCTGCTGAGGGCAAGGAGCTGAGGGCAGGGACTGCTGAGGGTGAGGGGCTGAGGGCCAGGGACTGCTGAGGGCAAGGACACCCGACCCGGGCACTGCAGAACCATCCACCCTCACCCTCAAGCAGCGTCGAACGACTTCCCTCAGCCTCTCCCCGCCTCGTCCCTCAGGCCCGGCCGGGCGGCCTTTCCCGCCCTGTCCCTCACGGGGGCTCCGGGCGGGGCCGTGCGCAAACCCCGCGGGAGGGGGGGTGTGGGAGGTGTTCCCTCAGTTCCCGCTCCTGAGGGAATCGTGGAAAATCCTGAGGGAAGGGAACCACAGGGATCATCCAAATCCAACCCCTGGCCCCGCGCAGACACCCCAACAATCCCACCCTGTCCCTCAGAGCGTTGTCCAAACGCTCCTGGAGCTCTGGCAGCCTTTGGGGCCGTGCCCACTGCCCTGGGGAGCCTGGTCAGTGCCCAAACACCCTCTGGGGGAAGAACCTTTTTCTAATATCCAACCTAACCCTGGCAGAGCTCCAGCTGCTCCCTCGGGTCCTGTCATTGCCCTCGTGAGGAAGCTCCAGACCCCCGAGCTCTCCCCTCAGCCCGTTCCACGGGCTCCCGGTGCTGCCTCTTCCCTCCGGGGGTCCCGGGGCAGCAAAACCACCAAAGGCAAAGGATGAAAAAGGCTCGAGTCACCTTTGGGGCAGCAGCTAATTGCTAATTGTGGGCACACAGCATTCGATCTTTGCTTATAACACATCATTGGAAAGCTGGGACAAGCTTTCGTCACATGTAAGGAACAGGTTTCCCAGAGAAGCTGTGGCTGCCCCCGGATCCCTGGAGGTGTCCAAAGCCAGCTTGGAGCAGCCTGGAACAGTGGAAGGTGTCCCTGCCCATGGCACTGGGGTGAGACTGGGTGAGTTTTAAGGTCCCTTCCAACCTAAACCAGTCGGGTTTATAGAATCCTGAGGGGCTCACAAGGATCACGGGCTGCAACCCCTGGCCCTGCACAGACACCCCAACAATCCCACCCTGTCCCTCAGAGCGTCATCCAAACCCTCCTGGAGCTCTGGCAGCCTTTGGTGCTGTGCCCACTGCCCTGGGGAGCCTGGTCAGTGCCCAACCACCCTCTGGGGGAAGGACCTTTCCCTGAGATCCAACCCAAACCTCCTCACAGCTCCTAAACCTCCCAAACCGCAGCTCCAGCTGCTGCCTCAGGTCCCGTCCCCGCTCACACAGAGCAGAGGTCGGAGCTGCAGCCCCCAAGGTCTCCCCTCAGCCTCCTGCAGCTGAACGAGCCAAGTGCCCCTCCAGACCCTTCAGGGCTGGATCCTGTCCTGGTTTCAGCTGGGAACCAGTTAATTCCTGCCCAGTAGCTGTTCCAGTGCTGTGTTTTGGATCTGGGATGAGAACAGGGTCGATAACACACGGATGGTTTGGGTTTTGGCTGAGTCGTGTTTGTCCCAAGTCAAGGACTCTTTCTTTTGGTTTTTGTCTCCTGCTCTGCCAGAGCTGGGAGGGAGCAGAGCCGGGACAGGTGACCCGAACTATCCAAAGGGATATTCCACACCACAGACCACCATTCCCAGTCCACAAACTGGGGGGAGTCACCTGGGAGGGGCCGATCTGGGTTTGGGAGGGGGGTTCTGACATCGGTCAGGGGGTGGTGAGCAATTGCGTCGTGCATCAATTAGTTTCTTTCCCCTTTTATTATCATTATTATTATTATTTACCATAATTACTGTATTTTACTCTATTTTCAACTACTAAACTCTTTTTGTCTCGACATACAAGGTTTACTTTTATTCTCCTCCCCATCCCACCTGGGGGGAGGGAGGAGCAGAGCTGCCGAGTGGAGCTTAATCTCCAGCTGGGCTTAAAACCATGAAAACCATCCCTGTGGCCCTCCTTTGCATGCTCTCTAGAAGCTTAATATCTTTTTTTATATCGTGGTGCCCAAAACTGCCCCCAGAACTGGAGGTGAGGCCGCACCAGTGCAGAGCATTTTCCTAAAATGAACCCTAAACCCATAATTTCTTTTGACCCAGCTGAAGTTTGGAAGGAGATGGATAGTGTCCCCTTTTCACTGCACAGAGTGTCTAATATGAAGGCATTTTCATCACTGTTTGCTAAAAACAAATCACCCACATACTGTCCAAACAAGGTCATTTCATACCCTTTAAATCAACCCCTCAAATTCATTTAAAAAAATCACAAAATCATAGAATGGTTTGGGTTGGGAGGAGACCTTGAAGACCATCATGTTCCAGCTCCTGCCATGGGCAGGGACACCTCCCACTATCCCAGGTTCCTCAAGGATTTATATCCAGCCTGGCTTTGAACAATTCCAGGGTTGGAGCAGACACAACCTGTTCCAGGGCTTCACCACCCTCCCAGTAAAGATTTTTTCCTAATATCTAATCTAAATTTTTTCCTAATATCTAATCCAAATTTTTGCTGATATCTCATCTAAACCTCCTCTCTTTCAATTTGAACCCACCCCCTCTTGTCCTGTCGCTCCAGACTCTTGGAAATGGTCCCTCTCCATCTTTCCTGGAGGCTCCTTCAGGTCCTGGAAGGCCACAATTAGGTCACCCCAAAGCCTTCCCTTCTCCAGGCTGAACAATCCCAATTCTCCCAGCCTCAATCCCAACTCTCTCTCCAGCAAAACCTTGGGGAAGGTGTGTCCTGGTCAGTCACTGTCTGGGCTTTAAAGTCCCTTCCAACCCAAACCATTCCAGGATTCCCTGATTTTTTTCCTGAATATCGGGGGTTGATTCCAAAGGTATGAAGTTGCCACGTTTGTACAGCACAACAGGAGGTTTGTTATTAACAAGCAGTGATGAAAACGCTTTTATTTTGGACACTGCACGTTTGTGCATCGTCCTGATGTCACAGAAACGCTGAAAATAAAACCCCAACACTGTAATTTCAATATTAAAAAGAGGAATTGCTTTATTTCGGTGCAACAGCCCCCCAATTATCTCACATATTCATTTATATCTATGTAACTAATACATAACTAACACATATTCACCCCATTTCCCAAACCCCACATTGCTAAATATTGCCCTGAATTCTTTTCCATATTCAAATCACTTCTCAGAGCTCATTTCCATCAGAGTAGGGGGATTTTGAGGGTCCCTGGGGGTCGTTTGGGGAACATCCCGTTCCTCAAATTATCTTTTTATGGTCACGAGCCTCCTAAAAACAGTTTCTTCTCCCTGAATGGATCCCGGCCGTGTGGTCTGGCCAAGATAAACCTTCTTATCAGGCCCCCAGTCTTTATTTTCAAGGCTCACACGTCTCCTTGCACACATTTACCCCTGATACGGGGGAAAACAGCCCTGCCTGGGAAAGATGAAGATGTTCCCAAATATTCCTCAATTGTTGGGATAAATAAAACCCTCTAACACCGTTTTATTTTTTTATAAAAAGCAAAGCATGACTTTATTTGTGGCCAGAGATGTTTGTGACACTCACAGGGTCCAGCCCACACAGACCTTGAGATATAATTTTTCTACCTATTTACACATTTTCAGCAAACGAAGAAATTAATGTTCAGTGGTTCTTAATCACATAATTCCTTTAATTAGTTCGTATTCCACCTCCTATTGGCCATTAATTGGTGATAACTGGCCTTTTCTGAAAATTAGTTCATATCTTTAGTCTTCTTTGTATCTTTTTCTCTCAGAAGGGACTTCACGTGTTGAGTCTTTGTTGGCCTTCTCCTTTCTCTGCTGATTTCTGCCCAAAGTCCTTCCCAAATCCCGGGTTCCAGATGTCCAGGTTCAGCCACACCCCTTCCTCTCTCTCATCTTCGTTCCTCGAAGCAGACCAAGGTTCATTTTTAACCAAACTCCCAGGTTTTGGTGCTTTTCCCAAGCTCTTTTCCCGCAGAAGTAGCTCGTGACAACCTTCTGCTAAAAAAAAGTGATTTAAGGCCCAACAGGGCATCTCTGAGTAATTAAAATAACTAATCAACAGGTTAATTAAAGCTGTTAGAAATTCGAGAAGGGATCTCATTCCCACCAAAGGAATTCCCAAGGCTCAGCACCATTTGCTGCAGTTAAAGAGGGGACACCGGGCACCTCCACCCAAACTTCAGCTGGGGCAAAAGGAAGGGAAGGATTCCCAAAAGTTTTGGGAAAATATCCATGGATAATAGATCTGGGAATAACAGAGAGGGAGCTGGGATTAGATGATGTTTAAGGAACATTCCAACCCCTTTGCTGCCCCAAAAAATTGGATTTTTTTTTAAATTTAAACCAATAATTACGACTCAAGAGAGAGACATGGATTATTTATTATTATTTCTTTATTAGTGATTATTTATTTATTATTGATAGTTTATTTATTGTTATTTATTTTGTGAGTTGGCTTTTGTGGGATTCCACAAACCGAGCACCCCAAGCATCAAAACTTTTTATATTTCTACATTTTAGCAAACGCAGGAATTAGTGTTCCCTGGCTTTGTGATTCCATGATTCCGTGATTCTGATTCCATGATCCTATGATTCCATGATCCTGTGATTCCATTACTGTGTGATTCCATGACTCCATGATTCTGTGGTTCCATGATTCCATGACTCTCATTCCACGATTCTATGATTCTGTGATTCTATTTTTCCATGATTCTGTAATTCCATGACTCTGTGATTCCACGAACCTGCGATTCCACGATTCTGTGATTCCGTGATTCTGTGTTCCGTGATTCCATGATTGTGTGATTCCATGATTCCATGATTCTGTGATTCCATCGTTCTATGATTCCATGACTCTGTGATTCCATGATTCCAAGATTCCACGGTTCCACGGTTCTGTGATTCCATGATGCCGTGATTCTGTGATTCTCTGACTCCATCATTCCATGATTCCATGATTCCATGGTTCTGTGATTCTGTGATTCCATGATTCTGTGATTCCATGATTCTATGATCCCATGACTCTGTGACTCCATGATTCTGTGATTCCATGATTTTACAGTTCCATGACTCTATGACTCCATGATTCTGTGATTCCATGATTTTATGATTCTATGATTCTATAATTCCATGATCCTATGATTCCATGATTTTATGGTTCTGTGATTGCATGATTCCAGGATTCTATGGTTCCACAATTCTGTGATTCCATGATTCTGTGATGCCATGATTCTATGATTCCATGATCCTATAATTCCATGATTTCCTGATTCAATGATCCTGTAATTCCATGATTTTATGATTCTGTGATTCCATGATTCAATGGTCCTATAGTTCCATGATTCCATGATCCTATCATTCCATGATTCTATAATTCCACGATTCTATAATTCCAGAATTCTATAATTCCACAACCTTATGATTCCATGATTCTGACTCCATGTTTCCACGACCCAGTGATTCCATGATTCTGATTCCATGTTTCCACGATCCTACAATTCCCTGATCCTAGGATTTTACGGTTCTATTATGCCATGATCCTATGATTCCCGGATTCTATTGCGCCATTACCCTGCGATTCCATGATCCCACAATTCTGTGACTCCGCGACTCCACAATTCCACGATCCCCCGACCCCCCGCTCCTACAATTCCATGATCTCCCGACCCCCCGCTCCTAAAATTCCATGATCCCCCGATCCCCCGCTCCTACAATTCCATGATCCCCCGACCCCCCACTCCTACAATTCCATGATCCCCCGATCCCCCGCTCCTACAATTCCATGATCTCCCGACCCCCGCTCCCGCTCCCCGACCCCTCCCGGCCCCCTCGGTCTCCATGGCAACCCCCGGAAGTTCCCGCCCATCTCCATGGCAACCCCCGGAAGCTCCCCACCCATCTCCATGGCAACTGCCGGAAGTGCCCGGCGGTCTCCCTGGTGACGCCGGAAGCGGCGGCGCGGGGCGGGCTCTGGCGGCAGTGACGCTGAGGGTGCCATGTCGGCCATGTCTGCGGGCGGCGGAGCGCAGCGGGACGCGGGGGCCGCGGGCGGGTGAGGCACGGCCGGGCGGGCTCGGGCGGCCCCGCCGCCGCCGCGGGGACACCGCCTCACCCTCCTCTCCTCTTTTTCCAGGCGCCGCAGCAAGTGGGACCAACCCGGCCCGGCGCCCACCTTCCTGCTGCCCGGCACGGCGCCGCTGCCCGGGCGGCCGTTCGCCGGCGGGGGCGGCGATGGCGGCGCCGCCGTGGCCGGTTCCGAGGGCTCCGCGGCGCCCTCGGGAGCGCTGGATGCGGCCGCGGCCGTGGCGGCGAAGATCAACGCCATGCTGATGGCCAAGGGGAAGCTGAAGCCGGCGCCCAGCACGGCCGACAAGGTGGGGGGGGCGAGGGGGCCTCATGGGCGGGCTCCGGAGACCGTCGTTTGTCGGGAAACGGTGGAGTTGGGGGCGACAAAATCACTCAGGAAACATACTTTTAATTTTTTCTTTGGCTGTGGGGTCAGGCCTTGTGAGACTTTAGGAAGCCGCCTCTGGGGAGATAAAGTTTTCCCACGGGATCACGGAATGTTCTGGGCTGGAAGGGACCCCGCGAGGATCATCCAGCTCTTAGAGTGTTTTTCCTGAAGGGTTTTCCAGGTAGCAGAGCTGATGGAGAAGCCTGATTTGGGTTGGAAAAGGGCCTTAAAGCTCATCCAGTTCCATGGGCAGGGACACCTTCCACTAGCCCAGGTTGCTCCAGGGTGGCCTCGGACACTTCCAGGGATCCAGGGGCAGCCACAGCTTCTCTGGGAATTCCATCCCAGCCCCTCCCCACCCTCACAGGGAGGAATTCCTTCCCAATATCCCACCTGGCAGTTTAAAACCGTCCCCCCTTGCCCTGTATAAAAAGTCCCTCTCGCTCCGTTTTTTTTTAAAGCCCCTTTTGGGCACTGGAAGTAAAATCTGACACTTTGGGACCTTGAAAAGTTGGCAGATGCTGCTGCTGCCTCAAATCTTCCACCTCTGCTTTTGTCCCAAGCTTTGGTGACACCCCGTGCTGAGGGAACCACTTAACCAAGGAATTAACCTGCATTTGGGATTATTTTATTATTTAATACAGTAGAAAAAATATATATATAATATGCCTATGGTTTTATTGCACATGTTGCTGTTGGTAGGGAGTGCTCAGTGATGGCATTTCCCAGAGTAATTAAACTCTGGTGACACTTCAGGTTGGGAGGGGGTGGAAATGAAGGAGCTGCAGATTAACAAATGTACTTTTTTTTAATAAAAAAGTGGAAGGAGTGGAGCAGTTTAATGTCTGTACAATTTAATGTCTGTACAATTTAATGTCTGTGCAGTGCACTGGAGTCCTTCCACAGCTGCCCTGTGGCTCTTTTTTAAGTGCTCTGCCTCCCTGTGATATTTGCTGAATGGTTGGGGGTTACTGGAAGGTTCTCTTTTTTTTTTTTAATAGAGTCTTGGTTGATGTTTGTAACCCACGAAAATCCATTCCAGAGCTTTTAGAAGGCTGTACTCACTCCACACGTTGAAAAAAAGCTCCCAGGTCTTTGTGGTAACCCCCAACTCCTCCTAAATCTGTGCTTCTTTGGCTTTTTATTTCTCAGAATGTCGATACTGGCACAAAATATTACGTTTTTAAAAAGGGGGGGAGTGTGGATGAGTTCAGATCTTGAGCAGAAATTCTAAATTCTCTCTGTGTTTAAAGGCAGTTGGGACAAGAAGGAACCAGAAACATGAAGTTCATGTTTCTTTAGTCCCAGGTTTCTACCAGAGCTGCCAGTTCAGGTGGGAGATGCCGTGGTTGCTGTTCAGCAGCTCCCCAGCTCAGTTCTACCTCTGTTCCTCCCCTTCCAGAGCAGGAACATGAATCATTCTGTTAAAATGTGGTGAAGATAAAGTGTATTTGTTTGGGCTCAGGGTTGTGAAGGGGCAGATTGGGCAGACACAACGTTCTTCCTGTTAATATTTGTGAAGATTTTGGGGTCAGAGGCTGGAAAGGGGGAGCGAGGAGGACGTTGGGCAAGGGCCAAACGAGGAGGACCTTCACCCTCCCGAGCCCTGGGGCCGGTCTGTTCCTCGCCCCGGCGCTTTCCAACCGCTGGGAATGTTGTCTGTTGAAGCTGCAGGCTCTGGGAAAAGGTCCAGCCGCCAGCAAGAGCAAAGATGACCTGGTGGTGGCCGAGGTGGAGATCAACGACGTGCCCCTCACGTGCAGGAACCTGCTGACCAGGGGCCAGACCCAGGACGAGGTAGGAGCGCCCTGGCAGCACTTGTGGGGCTGATATTACATAACATCTTTACCTTTTGAACCCATAAAATGAACTCAGAGGTCGAGTTTGACTCATGAGGTCGAAGGAACCCGCGGCAGGTTCCGTCCGGTCGTTGTTCCGTTGTGTTTTTAGAGGCACTCGCTCGGTTTGGTCCCCAAAAGGTGGTTTGGGGAGGTCAGAGCTGCTCTCCTCCTACTTCATTAAGGGCTTCTGGGGCTTTTTAATCAACAATTAAATAATCAAGTGTGAGCTGTGGTGTTTGGTGAGTGTTTGTCAATGATTGCTCACTGAGGTTTCCATCTGGTTGCAGATCAGTCGCCTGAGCGGAGCCGCCGTGTCCACCCGGGGCAGGTTCATGACTGCAGAGGAGAAAGCAAAAGTGGGACCTGGGTTTGTAGCTCTTTTTTCTGGGGGTCTGACTTTTTCTCTCCTTGGGAGGGGGGTTGCTGAGGTTCCTGTTTGGTTTGTTCTCCGTGAGCAGTTTTGCTCATAATTTGCCACAAATAATAATTTGTCATAACTCATATTTTTGCCTCAATTCATATTTTTGCCACAACTCATAATTTGCCTTTTTTCATAATTTGCCACAATTCATAATTTGCCATAATTCATATTTTGCCACAATTAATAACTTGCCATTTTTCATATTTTGCCACTTTTCATACTCTACCACAATTCATAATTTCCCATTTTTTCGTAATTTGCTATAATTCATAATTTGCCATAATTCATGTGTTGCCACAATTCATAATTGGCCACTATTCATAACTTGCCATTTTTCATATTTTGCCAGAATTCATAATTTCCCACAATTCATAACCTGCCATTGTTCATCTTTTACCACAATTCATATTTTCCACAAGTCATAATTTTACCATTTTTTCATATTTGGCCACAATTAATTTTTTTACCTTTTTTCCTGTTTTTGCATTTTTCCTTTTTCTCCATTTGTCATATTTTGCCATTTTTCATAATTTACCAACACTCATATTTTTCCAGAATTCATCATTTGCCATCATCCATAATTCAACTTTTTTCATTATTTGCCACAATTCCTAATTTACCACAATCCCTAATTTGCCATTTTGATGCTCCCGACCACAGAACTTCTTCCCTACCTGCCTGATATTGTTTGAAATTCCACCCAAACCAACCACCACAGACAGATCCCACTGTGCTCAACTTCTTCCCACCGGGAACTGCAGCTTCCCAAATCCAAATTTCTCGCTGCTTTTACTTCATTCACCTTCTGTGCACAAAGAAATTCAAGTTTCTAGTGGTATAACTTCAATAAATCATCACATAAATATATTTTTTCTGTGTTTCCTGAGCACTGTGATGCTCCAGGGACTTGCATTCCCTTATTTGAAGGGATCTTTGTGGCAGCCTTGCTGTAAAGTTCAATTGAACCCATAAATTGATCCCATTTTGTGTGTTGCCCGTGGGTTTAACGGGATATTTGACATTCCCTCCCCAGGGACCGTCCCTTGTACCTCCACGTGCAGGGGCAGACGCGGGAGCTGGTGGACAGTAAGTGCAGAACATTCTGGTTTTTCCTGTTTTATTTGTGATAAAGGGGCCCTGTGAGTGGCCTTGGTGGGTTTGTGCTGTGAATATCTCAGGGTTGATAACAGACTGTGTTTAAACACTGGGAAGGTCTGCCCAGAAATTCCCGAGGTCCCGACTGCTGCATCCGCAGGAAACCTTGGAGAGACCCCAGGGAAGGTGGGGGGAGTGGGTGATCTCATGGATAACACACCCAGATCCCACTGGAATAGGACAGAGTGACAAGAAGGGACCACACTGGGTCACAGGGCAGGATCGTCCCCCTGGCACGTGGGATGTGTCCGAGTGGGTCTGGAATCATCTCGTTCCTCCCCCTTCTCCGGCACCAACTCAGCTCTCCCCAGACCAGGAGCTCCCTGCAGGAGCACGAGAGATGGAGGCAACAATTCCCTGAGAATCCCGGGATGGGGCAGGTTGGGGAGGTCCCACCTCCCTGCTCAGAACCATCCCAGAGCACGTGGGATGTGTCCAGGTGGTTCTGGAATGTCTCCAGGGAGGGACACTGGGCATCCTGTTCAGCGCTGGGTCACTGCCCAGGGAAGAAGTTCTTCCTCGTGTCCAGCTGGAACTTCTGGGCCTCAGTTTTGTGTCCTGTTTTTGGGCACCCCCCGAGCAGAGCCTGGTCCATCCCCTGCAGGCACTGACACGCCCTGGGGAGGTCCCCTCTGGGTGTCCCCTGGTCACAGAGATGCTCCAGTGCCTTCAGCATCCTCACAACCTCCCCTGGACCCGCTCCTGGAGCTCCATGTCCCTCCTGTCCTGAGGAGAACTGACCCCACACTCCAGCTGTGCCTCCCCAGGGCTGGGCAGAGGGGCAGGATCACTCCCTGACCTGCTGGGAATTCTTTTCCTGATGCCCCCCAGGACACACGAGAGCTCCTTGAGACCCCCAGGTCCTTCCCTTCAGAGCTGCTCCCCAGCCTGTGCCGGTGCCTGGGGTTGTTCCTCTCCAACTGCAGGACCTAAAACGTTGGTGTTAGTCCTAAAATGTTGGTGTTGGTCCTAAAACGTCAGTGTTTGTCCTAAAACGTTGGCGTTTGTCCTAAAACGTTGGTGTTTGTCCTAAAACATTTGTGTTTGTCCTAAAAGGTTAGGCCAGACTTTGTCAGGGTGGGAATGGCCAGGGAACCCTGATGTTCCATGGAAACAATCCCGAGTTGGAAGGGATGCTCAAGGATCATGGATTGCAGCCCCTGGCCCTGCCCAGCCCCCAGCAGTGCCCCCTGGCCCTGAGGGTGCTGTCCCACCACTCCTGGAGCCCTGGCAGCCCTGGGGCCGTGCCCACTGCCCTGTTCAGTGTCTGACCATCTGAGGGAAGGACCTTTTCCAAATATCCAACTTCAATCCCCTTCCAGAGCTCCAGCTGCTCCCCAGGGTGGCTTGGGGCCGTCCTTGGTGGTGCCATCCTTGGTGGTGCCATCCTTGGTGATCCCACACCAGGTCTCCGGTATCAGGAAGATAAACCCCTGCTGCCTGTTCCCTTATCACAACAACCCAGTTGTGTCCCAGTTGGGTTGAGCTGGAAACCAGGAATGAATTTCCTTTTGTGTTCCTTAGGAGCTGTGAACAGAATCAAGGAGATCATCACCAACGGGGTGGTGAAGGCGGCCACGGGCTCCAGCCCCACGTTCAACGGGGCCACGGTGACCGTGTACCACCAGCCAGCCCCCATCACCCCCCTGAGCCCGGCCGTGGGGCAGAAACCACCCTTCCAGTCCGGGGTGAGTGGCATGGAATGGGATTCATGGAATGGCACCGGGGACCAGGGTTGG